CTCCCTCCCTCCCCACTGACCTGGTCGTAGTTGTCGTGGCCGTGGAAGAAGGGCTCCTTGCGGAAGATCATGCTGGCCAACATGCAGCCCAGGCTCCACATGTCCAGGCTGTAGTCGTACATCTGCCGGGGGGCAACGGGGCTCAGGAGGCTCCTGGGGGACGGGGGGGGATCCCACCAGGACCCCCCCAAGCCCGGGACCACCCCCCCAATGCCCCACACACCTGGTAGTCCACGAGGAGCTCGGGGCCCTTGAAGTAGCGCGAGGCCACGCGCACGTTGTACTCCTGCCCCGGGTGGTAGAACTCGGCCAGGCCCCAGTCGATCAGCCTCAGCTGGGGAGGGGGGACAATTCCCGTGGGAATGGGGGGTTGGAGACCCCCGGGATGCACCCCCAAACACCCCCGGGCTGCTCAGGGGGAGAGGTGACAGGAGCACCCCGGTGGGTGTGACACCGTGCGGCTGGTCCCGGTGGTGGAACTCGGCCAGACCCCAATGGATCAGCCTCAGCTGGGGAGGGGGGACAATTCCCATGGGAATGGGGGTGTGGGGACCCCCAGATGCACCCCCAAACACCCCCCTGGCTGCTCATGGGGAGAGGTGACAGGAGCACCCCGGGGTGACACCGGGAACGGCGTTCCCATTCCCTGTGTTTGTCCCTGTCCTCTTGGAAGGTTGGGTTTGGAATTTGCCCCTCAGGAATTTCACCCCCTTCTTCCCCCAAGTCTTTCCTCAGCTCGGGATGGTTCCCGTGGGAATGGGGCCGTGGGGACCCCCTGGATGCACCCCCAAATCCCCTTTGGGCTGCTCATGGGGAGAGGTGACAGGAGCACCCCGGGGTGACACCGGGACCGGCTGCCCCAGGTGGTAAAACTCAGCCAGGCCCCAGTGGATCAGCCTCAGCTGGGGGGGGACAATTCCCGTGGGAATGGGGTGTTGGAGACCCCCGGGATGCACCCCCAGACCCCCCCTGGGCTGCTCATGGGGAGAGGTGACAGGAGCACCCCGGGGTGACACCGGGGCCGGTGTTCCCGTTCCCATCCTCTTTTGTAGGGTCGGGTTTGGAATTTGCCCCTCAGGAATTTCACCCCCTTCTTCCCCCAAGTTTTTCCTCATCTCAGGATATGGTTCCCATGGGAATGGGGGTTGGAGACCCCCGGGATGCACCCCCAAACCCCCCTGGGCTGGTCACAAGGAGAGGTGACAGGAGCACCCCGGGGTGACACCGGGAACGGCTGCCCCGGGGGGTGGAACTCGGCCAGGCCCCAGTGGATCAGCCTCAGCTGGGGGGGGACAATTCCCGTGGGAATGGGGTGTTGGAGACCCCCGGGATGCACCCCCAGACCCCCCCTGGGCTGCTCATGGGGAGAGGTGACAGGAGCACCCCGGGGTGACACCGGGGCCGGTGTTCCTGTTCCCATCCTCTTTTGTAGGGTCGGGTTTGGAATTTGCCCCTCAGGAATTTCACCCCCTTCTTCCCCCAAGTTTTTCCTCATCTCAGGATGGTTCCCATGGGAATGGGGGTTGGAGACCCCCAGATGCACCCCCAGACCCCCCCTGGGCTGCTCATGGGGAGAGGTGACAGGAGCACCCCGGGGTGACACCGGGGCCGGTGTTCCCGTTCCCATCCTCTTTTGTAGGGTCGGGTTTGGAATTTGCCCCCCCTCAGGAATTTCACCCCCTTCTCACCCCGAGTCTTTCCTCAGCTCGGGATGGTTCCCATGGGAATGGGGGTGTGGGGTCCCCCAGATGCACCCCCAAACCACCCCCGGGCTGCTCAGGGGGAGAGGTGACAGGAGCACCCCGGGGTGACACCGGGGCCGGTGTTCCCGTTCCCATCCTCTTTTGTAGGGTCGGGTTTGGAATTTTCCCCTCAGGAATTTCACACCCTTCTTCCCCCAAGTCTTCCCTCAGCTCGGGATGGTTCCCGTGGGAATGGGGGTGTGGAGACCCCCGGGATGCACCCCCAAATCCCCCTGGGCTGGTCACAAGGAGAGGTGACAGGAGCACCCCGGGGTGACACCGGGACCGGCTGCCCCGGGTGGTAGAACTCGGCCAGGCCCCAGTGGATCAGCCTCAGCTGGGGGGGGACAATTCCCATGGGAATGGGGGTGTGGAGACCCCCGGGATGCACCCCCAAACCCCCCTGGGCTGCTCAGGGGGAGAGGTGACAGGAACACCCCGGGGTGACACCGGGGCCGGTGTTCCCATTCCCCCGTGTTTGGCCCTGTCCTCTTTTGTAGGGTCGGGTTTGGAATTTGCCCCCCCTCAGGAATTTCACCCCCTTCTTCCCCCAAGTCTTTCCTCAGCTTGGGATGGTTCCCGTGGGAATGGGGCCGTGGGGACCCCCTGGATGCACCCCCAAACCCCCCTGGGCTGGTCAGGGGGAGAGGTGACAGGAGCACCCCGGGGTGACACCAGGACCGGTGTTCCCGTTCCCATCCTCTTTTGGAGGGTCGGGTTTGGAATTTGCCCCTCAGGAATTTCACCCCCTTCTCACCCCGAGTCTTCCCTCATCTCGGGATGGTTCCCGTGGGAACAGGGACAAGGATCAGGGCAGGAAGGACATGGAGGGGCTGGAGCGTGTCCAGGGATGGGAACGGGGCTGGGAAGGGTCTGGAGAACTCCTGAGGGAGCTGGGGGGGGGCTCAGCCTGGAGAAAAGGGGGCTCAGAGGGAATCCAGGGGGGCAGGAGGGTGGATCCAGGTGGGATCGGGCTCTGCTCCCAGGGAACAGGGACAGGACGAGGGGAAACGGCCCCAAGCTGGGCCAGGGGAGGTTTATTTGGGATCTTGGGAAAAATCCCTGCTGGGAAGGGCTGCCCAGCCCTGGATCCCCATCCCTGGGGGGGGATGGAGCATCCCTGGGGAGGGGGCACTTGGGGACTCAGAGGGATCTTCCCAACCTCAGGAATTCCAGGATCCCGCGGTCCTGGCCCCGGGGTCCTTGGCGGGGCTCCGGGAATGTCGGGACAACGCTCCCGAGGCTCAGGAACAGGGATTTCGGGATGTCCCGGGCAGGGCCGGGAGTCGGACTCGCCGATCCCTGGTTGGGGGGGGGGTTCCTCCCAACATTCCTTTGGGATATTCCATGAGCACCCTGGTTGGACTCGGCGGCCCCTGAGGCTTTTCCAGCCTCGGGAATTGCGGGATGATTCCCAGGATTGCCAGGATTCCGGGAGCTCCCAGCCCGGGTACCTTCCTGTGCTCGTGGTCGATCATGACGTTGTGCGGCTTCACGTCCCGGTGCATCACCCCCATGCTGTGGCAGTAATCCAGGGCCTGCGGGAAACCGGGAATGGGAATGGGAACGGGGATGGGAATGGGAATGGCAGTGATCCAGGGCCTGCGGAAAACCGGGAATGGGGTGGGAATGGGAACGGGAATGGGAATGGCAGTGATCCAGGGCCTGCGGGAAACCGGGAATGGGGTGGGAATGGGGATGGGAATGGGGATGGGATGGGAATGGCAGTGATCCAGGGCCTGGGGAAAAACTGGGAATGGGAATGGGAATGGGAATGGCAGTAATCCAGGGCCTGGGGAAAAACGGGAATGGGGTGGGAACGGGGATGGGAATGGGAATGGCAGTGATCCAGGGCCTGCGGGAAACCGGGAATGGGGTGGGAATGGGAACGGGAATGGGAATGGGAATGGCAGTGATCCAGGGCCTGCGGGAAACCGGGAATGGGAATGGGAACGGGAATGGGAATGGGAATGGGGATGGGAATGGGAATGGGAGTGATCCAGGGCCTGTGGGAAACCGGGAATGGGAATGGGAACGGGAATGGGAATGGGATGGGAATGGGGATGGGAGTGATCCAGGGCCTGCGGGAAAATGGGAATGGGGTGGGAATGGGAACGGGGATGGGAATGGGAATGGGAATGGGATGGGAATGGCAGTGAGCCAGGGCCTGTGGGAAACCGGGAATGGGGTGGGAATGGGAATGGGAATGGGATGGGGAATGGGAATGGGGAATGGGAATGGGATGGGAATGGGATGGGAATGGGAGTGATCCAGGGCCTGCGGAAAATGGGAATGGGATGGGAATGGGAACGGGAATGGGATGGGATGGGGAATGGGAATGGCAGTGATCCAGGGCCTGTGGAACACCAGGAATGGGAATGGGAATGGGAATGGGAATGGAATGGGAATGGGAATGGGAATGGGAATGGGATGGGAATGGGAATGGGAATGGGAATGGGAATGGGATGGGAATGGGAATGGGATGGGAATGGGGATGGGATGGGAATGGGAATGGGAATGGGAATGGGAATGGGGAATGGGGAATGGCAGTAATCCAGGGCCTGTGGAAAACGGGAATGGGAACGGGAATGGGAATGGGAATGGGGATGGCAGTGATCCAGGGCCTGTGGAAAACTGGGAATGGGGTGGGAATGGGAATGGGATGGGAGTGATCCAGGGCCTGTGGGAAACGGGAATGGGAACGGGAATGGGATGGGAATGGGGGCTGGCAGTAATCCAGGGCCTGCGGAAAACAGGAATGGGAATGGGAACGGGAATGGGAATGGGGATGGGAATGGCAGTGATCCAGGACCTGTGGGAAACAGGAATGGGAATGGGGAATGGGGAATGGGGAATGGGGATGGCAGTGATCCAGGGCCTGCGGGAAAACCGGGAATGGGAATGGGAATGGGAACGGGAATGGGAATGGGATGGGAATGGGGATGGGAGTGATCCAGGGCCTGTGGGAAACGGGAATGGGAATGGGAATGGGAACGGGAATGGGAATGGGAATGGGAATGGGGATGGGAGTGATCCAGGGCCTGTGGGAAACGGGAATGGGAATGGGAATGGGAACGGGAATGGGAATGGGAATGGGAATGGGGATGGGAGTGATCCAGGGCCTGTGGGAAACGGGAATGGGAATGGGAATGGGAACGGGAATGGGAATGGGAATGGGAATGGGAGTGATCCAGGGCCTGTGGGAAACGGGAATGGGAATGGGAATGGGAA